CAATTATGCCTTTTTAATAGTAATCAACACAAGATATTTTTTCTCTTTCCTCCAGAGTTATAACAACAATGTACCCACATTTATTTAACCATCTCAACTGCACAAATGCTATTGACCCAAATATCCCTTAAACTAAAACTTCTCAAACTTAAGTGTGAGCATGGATCATCAATCAGAATAATAGAAATTCTGATTCAGCAGCTCTGGGAGGGACCTGAGATTCTAGTCAGTTCCTAGGAACTGCAGTACTTGGTCCATGGATGGTATTTTCAGCTGGAAAATCTTTCACAAGCTGTGCAGTGAAATTTTGCAGTTTGCCAAGTACTATTTCCTTGTGTTTGTAAAATATAGAAGCTTCCCAGTCCTCCCTGGTGGCACAATGGATTAAAGCTCAGCACTGTAAGCTAGCTGCAGCCGCAGCCATTTCAGTGTGAGTTCAATCCCTGCCCAGGAGGTGATCTATATGGCACAGCAGACCTCTCCAGACCCACCCGCTGCTCCCTTCAGCAGTGTACTTTGTCGATCTGCCTGTTCTGCTTCCCACTCTGTTTCTGATGAAGCCTCTCACCACCCCTGGACCTCTGGCCTGTGCCCCAAGTCTGTATGCATGAATAAATAAATCTTCTTTGAAAAAGACAGAAGCTTTCCAACGTCCAAGCTAGTTCAGGCATATGTTTACGTTCAATGGTCAAAGAATCTTTGAAAGCTGATTGCTCTGAGTTGATTGACAAGAAATAAGAATCACAGTTAAGCAAAACATATCAAGTACCTTATTTTTTTTTTTGATGAAGCACATGCTTTAAGAATAATCCTATTAAATGATAGATATGTGGGTATAAATATCTACCTAAATTAGTAAATATGATAAAGTTAAAAGTCAGTAGCAGTCCTTATATAAAGGTTGTCAAGAAAGAAAATCACTTTTGCTTAAGTAATACCTCCTTTCTCGGAAAGGAGGGGCAGAGATTGTTCTACTCAGGATTTCACTCTGGCCTTGACTGGGAAGAGGGCAAAGCTTGACTCTGCAACCTCCTTTCATGCCTTTCCCCCTTGTTGGCAATTGTTGCCACTAATTACTGGTTCTGGTCATGTTTTTACTAGCTTCTTGGCTCATCAGAGGACCATAGTTACCCTAGTTCAATGTGCACCTTATTCCATCCCAGGCCACCACCAGCAACAGCAAAATTTATGGATGACTTTTACTAAAATTTTAATTCTCCCACACTGGGTATTCTATCTCTCTCCTAATCTAACATATATTAAAACCTGTGACTACCTTTCCTCTATTTTACAAGAAACTTTCCAACAGATATTATAAATGTGTAAGTGGAAGTAAATAATAGTGGGAAAATTTTGAAGTTATCTAGTGACAGTAATACTAATAACTAATACTGAAGGTGCTTGTGGTGTGCTGTTTTCAGCATCTTGTGCAGATGTAATTCCTGAAAGCCCTGATGAGCCAAGATGCTACTGATGTCTTCAGTCAATAAGAACTTGTTTGACAATGTGCTTGTATTTCTCGGGATGTTATTATATTATATATGCATGTGTTATGGTTTTGGTTTTTAAAATAATTCCTAATATATTATTGTTCAATATGGTAACCACTAGCTATACATGGCTCTTGAGCATTTGAAACTGGCTAGTATAAAATGAAGCATGACGTGCAGAATACACACAGAATTTTGAAGACAATTTTATTTTTCTTAAAGATTTATTTATTCATACAGAACTGGGGTACAAGACAGAGTTGCAGGGGCAGTGAAAGGCTTCACCAGAGATAGAGTGGGGAGCGAAACAGGCAGATCATCGAAGTACACTGCTGAGGGGAGCAGTGGGCGGAGTCAAGAGAGATCTACCACGCCATGTGGATCACTTCCAGGGCCAGGGATTGAACTTGTACTGAAGTGGCTGTGGCCAGCTTGCAGTACGGCATCCTAATCTGTTGAGCCACCAGGGAGTGCATGAAGACAATTTTATAAAAGAGTACAAAATACCTCTTTAATATTTGAGATTGATTAATGGTTGAAATACTATATTTGATATAACAAGGGTTAAGTAAAGCATATTACTAATAAAATAAATTACTAGTAATTTAGTAACATATTTTCATCGATCTCATCAACCTCCCTTTTCTATTGTGGTTAACTAGAAAACTTCATAGATTACTTCTGCCTGACTTCATATTTCTTTAAAATAGAACAACTGCAGTCGTACATAGCCTGAACTCATGGAATAAGTTCAAGCACTTACAGTTGGTTAGGTGTCGGGGCATAGACAAGGTCCGAGCTCTCCTAGATGTATTTCCGTCTCATGACCTATCTATTCATGACTTAAGCCATTGATTCTCAGCACTGATTTCACAGTAGTTTATGTAGCTGGAACTCTATGTAGACTGGGGCCCCTCTACTGATGTTTTGATGGTCTGTGTAGCCTGGCATCAGAAGTTTTAAAAACCTGCAGGTGCTCCCCACTCGGTCTCTACCCCCACAACTCTGTCCTACACCCCAGTTCTTCTATGCAAAACAAACAAACAAACAAAAAAACCCACAAAAAACATGCAGGTGATTTGACGAAGCTGAGATACTAGCCCAAACAGGACAGAAAGCACTGAGTTCTGACCACAGAGACAGATAGGTGGTGCTGTTTGCTGTGGGGCCCAGCTCATGCTTTGAGTCTCTGTAATTGGGAGAACATGTTGTGAAAGAGATGAGGCAAGTCACAGCTCACTTGTTGGCAAGGAGTCTTGTCTACTCTTATGAAATCTACTGTATGAAAGTAAACCCACCCTCCAGAGTCATAGGGGAAAAAAACAGAGGAAAGGAAGAAATGGAGCTAAACTACAGCACAAATACCTTTAGTTGTGTGAAGTGAAAATTCTCCCAGGTGACCAAGGGTTACCAAGGTGCAGGGCTCCCCCTCTTACCACCTCTGCCACTGCAGGGGCCAAGAGATGCTGACAGGTCAGGGTGTGCAGTCTCAACTCTGAGCTGAGTCTGGACTTGGCCACGCTTGATCCTGGGGTTCTGAGCTCCTCCTCCTCCAGGATGGACCCACAAGGTGGGCTGGATGGTGGTCCCAATGTATTTAATCCAAATACTCTGATTTATCTAAGGACAGACTGAATGTTGATTAGAGGGCCTCGGGATTCTGCAGAGTTCCACTTTGGAATGTAAGGGTTAATTACAATTGGGCAAAGCTCTCTACAGCGCCCAACTGCCTCACTCTAATCCAGGCTTTGCTGGAGAGTTTTCCTGCTGCACCAGGCAGACCATAAGTGTCATCCAGATCTTTCTGAAAAAAAATTTTTTTTTTTTAAACTTCTCGTGCCTACTTTCCTGGCAAAGTCAGAGTTCATGTTGGAAAAATTTATGCCCGCTCCCACCCATATTGGAGAAAAATAGATCTTCAAATAATAGTCTGTTCTTTGGGAGGAACACTAGATTTTTTCCCTCCCTTCCTCTCTCCCTCCATCCTTTCCTTCCACCCTCCTTCTCTTTTCCTTCTTTCCCAATTCTGTTCCCAATTCTGCAATGCTATATGAATGTCTCCTTATTGCCAACCTGATTTTGGTTAACTAAATGACAAATATCTTTGGCCTAAAATTCATCAAGAAAATGGTCTAAGGCGACCTGCTCTGGGTAAGGGTTTCATACACAGCAAACAGCTCCATTGCTGTGATCTGTTGAAAGCCAGTCCTCAACACAAGGAAAAATGGCCTGGAAAATGACGGGTTTTAGCATTTTACTATCAGTGACAGCCATGTTACTAAAATACCTGCATTCCATGAGCGATCCCATTCTTCTCAGACATTTGGGAAGCTATCCAGCAATGCTTTTAATAACCAAAGGAGTTCTCATTTAAACCTTCCGAAAGATGATGCAGGTAGAGAGCTGCCCAAGGGACAGGGAGCTGCATTCTGAATGAAAGCACTCACACCAGCCTTTCCTGTCCCTTGTGTTTGCTTATTATACATCTCAAGTTGTAACTTCCAGATGACACAAAGTCATTTTAACAGTTTCTATTTCTAGTCTGTGTCCCCAAGGGGGACATATTTGGCCATGCATACAAAAATGAAAATAAAAAAATCCTTTCCTCTGGCCAGTTTTCAACTTTTAAATGTATTTTTTAGACTTTAAAATACGTTCTTCTTTCTCTCCACCCAGCATGTATATTTTTACTCTCTACTTAGGCCTTCCAAACTCTGCCAAAATCTGTTTCCTGACAATTTGAGAAGTGAGAAATGTCTGCGTGGAGGAAAAAAGTAAAGACACATGTTGTCATTTCAGCAGGGAAACATTGCCCAATGACCAAAGCAAGAGCTGTCTCGTGATGTTTTCTTCTGCTCACACTAACTTTTCCTATTTTAATCTTGCTCTCATCTTGCTGAAGGCAGCTCCCCTCCAGATATTATGACCTGCTGGAAGTCAGCAGGTTACTGATTTGTGATGATCTTACTTTGGAGGGCAGGAGGACAGCTATATGGATTGAACAATCACTTTTAACTCATTACAAAAAGTAGCATCTTGCTCTTTAAGTAACCAGGTTGTTGATAGGTTAGAAGAACTTATAGGGTCAACAGGAACTTATGAAGCACCTATACTGTCTGCAAGGTACAGTTCCAAACACAGGGAATAAGGCAGCAAGAGTTTCTGCCCTCTTGATTTTGAAGCAGCACCAAACTCTCAGCCAGAGGACTGCAAATATTGTACAAGGTTCCAGGGCCCAGCTAACTCCTTTTCTGATTAACTGTGATCGTTTTCATAAATCCATCTAATCCTACACCAAGTGCTATGCTCCATAACAATGGAAATCCTTGCAGGTTGGAAGACTACCTTTTCCTTTTTCTTGATGACTGCCTCTTATCAGCAATATATTGCTAAAAATATACATTTTCCTGTTGACTCTTTAGGGATTTTCTAACCTGTGGATTTCAGATTTACATGACATGGTGCGGTGCATAATTATATTTCATTTCTTAAAGAAAAAAAAGACAACCCAGAATATTTCAAAAATTATTTTCACACATGATTATCATACAGAATTACAAGGTATTATGTGCAAAATTCCATTTAAAAAATCATTTACAAAAGGAAGTACAACACAGTTTGTGCTGAGGGTTCTAGATGGACAGCAAAAGCTGGAGAAGATACAAGGTACAAAGTCAACCAGATCCGATGACTTCCTTCTTCACAAAGTACAACCCAGGTTACTTTTGTCACAACCTGTGTTACACTGATACACGACCCTCACACTTGGTGCACTCCCAGATAGATCTTATGAAACAGAAATTTAACTTCACCATACATTCTTATAATACAGATGCACTTTTTGGTCTATTTGCAAACTTGTTTCCAAACAGCATCGGATTTAAATCAATGCAAGTCACATTACCTATTGATTGATTTTTTTTTTTTATCCCAAATACGTTGATACCTTTAGTTTTAATGTAGGTAGAAGGAGGTAAAAAATGTTATCTGTATTTTCCCTTGTAGGATTTCAAAACTATTTCCAAAGGTGAATAACATAGTGGGTAGATTTTGCCATATCTCACTGCATTATTTACAGTGTTTTCAGAGTAGGTGGTTCCTTCCATCTTCCTTCCATCCCCAAGTCCTTCCAGGAGCCTGAACCAGCAGACTATACTCCTTAGTCCTTTGTTAGAATTTGTATTTCTCTCTCGACCTTTCTCTACATTCATTTCTCTCTCGAGTCTCAACATCACTTGATTAAAACACGAAAAAGTACAATATCACTGCGTGTGGACAAGGTAACGGCATATCAAAGTTCCAAAGGCATTCTGTGGCCAGTGTCAGTAATACATTGCTTTAAGAAATCCAGCAGTCTCTCCCCACAAAGTTGCCAAAAATCCAGTTACAGAAGAGAGACTTTTAAAATGCAATACTCTCAAATCCAGCAAGAGATTTCTTTTTGAATATTAAATGTTAAAATCACATGCATAATTATAGAATATTTTAAAGTTACAAAAATATTTTAAAAACCAATCCTGACAGTTTACCTGCAACTGCTATAAACATTTCTATGAAATATATAAAAACACAAAGTCTCTTTGTAAAAAAAAAAAAAGAAGAAGAACAAAGAAAAGAAAAAAGGGATTGGCGAAAAGGATGGAGCTGAGGCGAACCTGACGCACTGCATCGGACAGTCTTGTCGAACGACACCTGCTGTTGAATTCTAGACACCTTGTACCTTAAATGTTTATTCAGCACTTACACATACACAAGCGCCAACCTAGGACCTGGCTGGGAGGGGGTTGGGTAGTAAAAATCTCCGGACATTTGACCCATCAAATGCAATTCTTCATCTCTGAAGGAGAATCCTATTTCCTAAACTTCAGCCACCTTGCTTGGATGATATGACTAGAGATGCCCTTGGCCAGTGGATGGCTTAGTCGCTGAATTGAGGAGTCCCCAAGGAGGTGACTTAGTTTCAAGCACAAATAGGTGGAAGCTGGAAGGCAAAGTTCCTAACCTCCTTTTGGATACACCGCTGGGAAGTCCCAAGTGTCTTCTATGAGGTGGTGAAGTCTTCTTCCTCGTTCTGGAAGATGACACCATAAGGATCATTCTTGATACGCTTGTAGACAAAATGGAAGATGTGTGGTTGTGGGCGGCTGTGCAGCTCAGCCTTGATTTTTTGGGGGTAAGTGTCCTCTGCCAGCTGCTGCCACGTTTCATCAACAAAGAGGAAGAGGCTGTACTCCTCAGGGTCCCCTACCTTGAACTTTTCAGCACACAGCTGACACACGTCCTCAGTGGTAACATAAGGCCTCACTAGAAGGGTCTTTCCTGTGCAGCCGCTGTTGACCTCCTGGAATGCGACTCGAAGATAATTCTGCAGGTGGAAGAGAGAGGCAGGGAACAAAAATGAGAAGGGGAAATGAGGTGGAGCATGAAGGGATGGGGAGGAAGGGCTATTTCCAGGTTCTGGCTCTTGAGAATGTCCAACGTTAGGACAAAGGTTTCAAATGCAAGGAAAGAGGTTGATCTGAATTTGGACAGTGGGGAGAATAACTAAATGGACTGAATTGTTGTATTTTAATCTATTGCAAATATAGGAAGCAGGGAGTCCAGATAGCGCTGTTCTGATCTTTCAGCATCCCTGCAAGGGCCCAGGTAAAAGTCCTTGGCTAACAGTGTGAACCAGACCCAAGATTGGGTTTATTTCCATCCTAGAAGAGAAACCAAACAGCAGAAGAGCCAGAACCAGGAGTCAGCAGGACGAGACATTTTAAAAACGTAGACACAACATATAGACTAGGCTTTTTTGTTGCTAAAATTTTAGTTTTTTTTTAAGATTTATTTATTTATGCATACAGAACTGGGGTACAGGCCAGAGGTGCACGGAAGGTGAGAGGATTCACTAGGGACAGAGTGGGGAGCAGAAAAGGCAGATGTACTGAAATACACTGCTGTGGGGGAGCAGCAGGTGAGTCAGGAGAGGTCTGTCACACCATGTGGGTCTCCTCCAGGGCTGGGGATCGAACTCACACTGAGCTTGCTTGCAGTGCTGCACTTTAACTAGCTGTGCCACCAGGGAGGGCCCTAGACTCACTTTTAACTAACTTTTACTGAAGGCTAAGCAAAGGCCGTGATGTATGTTAGGTTAAGCCATAACATACTGCTGATATCTGACAATTTTTTATCTTCCCAAATGGAAATTTTATGTGGTTCAACCTAATACCAGGTTCTGAGTGCCACGTGGAACGAGTCAGTGGGAGGAGAATGTTGATTCTGCCAAAGACCTTTGGAGACGGAGCCGATTACATGCAATGTGGTCTTGCAGGAGTGTAAAAGGAGAAGTCTGCCAGGCTGGCACAGTGACTAGTGCCAGGCAAACACCGTCATGAAACACAAGAACCCATGATCTCACACAAAAAGCCCACATGAGGTGAAAAGACTTCTATACCCAAATAAGGCTCACTGAGATTTCCTGGCCCTGAAGCTGCCAGTTTCTACTTCCTTAGGAGCAGAGTTATCACATCCAGTTAAGTTAGATTTTCAGATAGCAAACAAATACCTCTTCCTTCTCTAAACCTAGTCAGGGGAGGAGGGAAATGATCTGCACTCAGAGTCCCCTGTGGTTACCATGAGGTTTACTGGGATGGTGAAGGAAAAGCTCTGGGAAAGGATAGTACAAATTTACCACCTTCATTTCACTGGCTCCTTCCTCTGCTATCCCACCCCAAGTCCCTAACACTTGGCGGGCACACATGCTGTGCCTTCACTCACTGGCTCCTGAGAACCATGACATCAGTGGAAGAACTGCTCACATAGCTAGTGGTGGCAAAGGCAGCACTCTGGGACCCTCGCCCCTGTGGGGTGCTGCTTCTCCACTGTGACGAGACTTATGTGCAAGTCGATCACCTCTAATAAGGGGTTCCAAGTAGAGTTTTGTGTCTGAGTGTTTGTTTTTATACCAGTGGAGTGCTGGCACTGTGTTGGGTAATGTTTTAAGAAAGTCAGTATCTCTAAGGTGAGCAAGGCTGGGGGTACGGGTGGGGTGAGAGGAGAGCTCAGCAGGAGGGGCCCATGGTGACTGGGAATGTCTAGGTTAGAATTTCCAGAAGGAGAAGAGGGAGGGGGCAGAGGAAGTTACAGGCGGCTGATCGGAGATAGAAGAATGAGGCTTTCATTTCCTCAGGAGTCCCCTGCTAGGATAGCCAATAACCCAGTGTCCCAAGGGTCCACATATGCTAAGTCACTTAGCATGTGGACTGTTCCTCAAAAATCTAAAGAAGATATGGGGAAGCACAAATTTTGCCTTCTTGTTTTCTAGACTTAAGTGCTTGGAAATCTTTATCTGAGAATAGCATCATCTTGGAGAAAAAGGTGCTTTCCCTAGTGGGCTGACTTTGACTCAAATGTATAATGTATACTTTTGAATACTTTCAGAGTTTTTTTCTTTCTTTCTTTCTTAAGATTTATTTATTTATGTATACAGAACTGGGGAACAAGCCAAAGGCTCAGGGGCAGCGAGAGTCTTCACCAGAGACAGAGTGGGGAGCAGGACAGGTAGGCTGACGAAGTACAATGCTGAGGGAAACAGTGGGCAGGTCAGGAGAGGTCTGCATGCCCTGTGGGTCACCTTCTGGGGCAGGGATCGAACTCATGCTGAAGTGGCTTTAGCTTCTTGTGGTGTGCTTTTAACTTGCTGCGCCACCAGGGAGGGCTCTATTTTCAGAGTTTTAAGAGGGCAAATAAAGGCAAGCCCCATAAGTCTGGACATGGGAATAAATCTGTCGTGCTTGGAAATTCACCATATGACAGATAGAAACAAAGCACAGAGTGGCTTTGTAACTGATGAACAGTCTCACCATTTCACAGACTATGAACACATTGAGGGTGGTTGTGTTGGATAAAGATCTGTAGGGCCTCTAATTAGATCCCTAATTTGCCTCTCCTCCCTAAGAAACAAGTTCTTTGAAAGTCCCATGTTCCTGGCCACTAGCATATGGTCATGGAAAATTCTGGATGGCAAACCAGGCAAAACTTGGTTCAGATGCTTGTCCCGACCAACTGTCAGAGCTGATGCTACCACTGCAATTCTGGGATCCTCTGGTCTTGGGGTTGGACACAGGAAAGGGAAGGAGAGGAAGGAAGACACCACAGTGCCTCTCCCTCTTTCCAGCAAACCAGGCAAACCTGGTGCTAACACTGCTATGTCCACAGAGCCAGTGTCCTGAGGAAATAAACACCCCATGCCAGGGCCAGTTTCCTGCTTTTGGCTTCCCATCTGCTCAGGTGTGCAGCACCCTGCTGTCCTGGGGGAAAATACCCACCATAATTTGACTTTGTTTCCTTAAAGGCAGCAAATCTTGTGCCAAACCCATATCTATTTTTAATGCAAGGAAAAAGAGAAGTGAAACAGCCAGGCAGAGTGGTTTAAAATATTCCTTTACCGTGCAGTGGCTGGCAGAGGCACTGTCTGTGTGCCCAGAGTTGCATGTGCTCCTGGGAGCAGCTCTGCCTCCCAGGAGGACAAAGGAAGAGCAGGACCCCACAGCTATCACCTCCCCGGCGCACCTGAAAGTCGTCCACAGACGGGATGGTCCGGTTGGTGGTTCTCCGCTTGTGCCATTGCCTCAGGGTGTCTCTGGTCTCCGAGCTGAGCAGTCTTGCAGCTTGTTCTTCTTGGAAATTCTTTATTAAAGAGAGTGCTCCATAGGCGCTAGTCAAGTAATAGCCTCCTAGAAAGGGCAGAAGGAGTGAGACTCAGTGAGGGGCCGAGAGCAGTAAGGCCATTCTTGATATTCTCTCACATGCCTTTCCCGTGGGACCACAGAAGCAAGTCACCTTGGATGTATTGGTGACTGAGGCCCACACCAAGGCTGGCTGTTTCCACTGAGGGAATTTTCATTCCAGTGGGTGAGGCACAAAAGCCTCTAAATTATCTTTCTGATGATGAGACTGATTTATTTTCTTACATTGTTACTCATTGTTGGGCAGTATTTGACTTTTGTCCTTTAGATGTAGTCCCTGGAGTTCCCCTACCACCAAGGCACACAAGATCCATCATCACAGTCTCTTGTGCTATTCCTTCCCTTGTTTTGACTCCGGTCCTCCCCCACCCCTTGCTATACATCTCAGATCTATGGTGAGTTAACCTGTCTTTATGCAGGGATTTTTTTTTTAAAGACTTATTTATTTATGCTAACAGAGCTGGAGTACAGGCTAGAGATAAAGGGGCAGTGAGAGGATTCACCAGAGACAAGAGTGGGGAGCAGAACAGGCCTACTGATGAAGTACACTGCTGAGGGGTGCAGCAGGTGGGTCAGGAGAGGTCTGCCCTGACATGTGGATCAACTCCAGGGGTTGGGGTCGGTCGAATTCATACTGAAGTGGCTTTAGCTTCTCAGTGCTGTGCTTTAAACCACTGCACCACCAGGGAGGGCCCTATGCAGGAATTTTTAATGATGCTGGGGGGAGGGGGATTTGACAATAGGGAAGGGTGTGGGGTGGGGACCCCCTCCCTGTTATATTTACCATTTGTATCATATGTAAATACAGACAGAAACTTCAATAAACTTTATTTAAAAAAAAAAAGTCTTATTGGTTTCCTGACCCTTTAAAAACTCTCAGTTATTTAAGCACAATTGTGACAGCGCTTTCCTAGAAGTCAGGGCCTGGAGGCCTGCTGGAGGTGGGAAGGCATGTAAGAGAGGCAGGGTCAGTTGCTCCAAGGCCAGAAACATTTGCCTTAGGGATAGGCCTCCACTGAGCTCCTTGCAATAACCTGCTTTGGGGCTTTTCTTATAGGAATTAATACTTCTTAAATTATAAGTAAACTAAATAGCTTGAAAGAATAGCAGTCTGTACAAATATGTTTAGGGAAATCTGAGTACTTGAAAATTAATTATCTCTCCCTCCTGATTCCCTTTCTTCTTCTGGAGCTAAAGTAAGATGACAAATAAGAAAAACTAATTCACAAGGAAAAGTAAGATGTTCCTTTGATGGTGCATTTAGGAAGGATGTCTTGCAGTTCTTGAGTGACAGAAGATTTACTACACCTATATAAAGATGTTTTCATAATTTTTGGCCATAAATTCTTGATGTTCTGGAAGGAACTTGTAAACTGCAAGATTAAGCATCATTAGAGGGCATCCCTAATTTTAAATTCCCTGATTGGGTCCAACATACTCTTAACTGACAGACATTCTTTGTCAAAAAACCTATTGAATCCTATCATGAGCCCACGCCAGACGCAAAGCACCTAAATGCCCCTTGCCCAGAAGTTTATCAGTTTATTAAAAGACCCTAGTAATTTTTCTGCAGGGAACATCAGTTATAGCGGTTGGTGAATAAGTTTTGTATGAAAGTATCACTTTCATGACCACAGTGGTCAGCTGGTAACGCAAAATCTCGAAAAACTCTCTTTCTGCTCCACCAGTGACAACATTCAAGATGTCAAATGGACCACATCATGTGGGTCATGAGTAGAATCCTCTGAGAATCACACTGGATGTAAAACAACAAAGAAACACACCTTTGTTGTTTTGGGTCCCAAATGAGGGTATGGCAGCATCTCACCCCTCTGAACAATACACTTTGCTCGCTCCTGTGGCATGTCGAGCTTTTGGTTCTTTGAATAGTGTGCCTACCCTACCACCTAGGAGTAAGGTCACCTGCAGCCCCCAAATGCTAGCACAGTTTTCAGATGCTAATTTTCACTAAATATTTGCCCTGTGAACAAATCAGCACATAATTTGAGTGTGGAAATAAGGAGTACAGAATTTAAATGCCATGCGTGGATTTTGGGAAAAACAGGCTTGGGTATGAGTATTAAAGAAAGAGTGCACGGAGCTGTCAATTTTGGAGCTGGAATCAAGAACTGCTACATTCAAGTTTGGGAGGGAGAATGTTTCCTCTGGATGTCAAATTTTTAGATTCCAAGGCTCTGAGCTTCTCAGGCCAATAAGGAGAAAAGCTCAAAATGCTAGAAACCCAATATTGACCACACTTGGAAACATGTGGATGCAATTAGAGAAAGGTTTTAAATTCCAGCAAAACTACAGCCATACCACAAGAGCTGTGCACTTAAAAAGGATTCCATGACTCCTTTTCCGTAAATGAAAATACCTGCTTAAACAGCAGAAAGGAGACAAGGGCTGCTGTCTCCCAAGCCAGAGAGGGCTTTGGGAAGGCTGAGCAGGGCCGGATCTGAAATATCTCTCCGCTCCACAACCTCATCCTCCCAGTCTGCATAGCTTTGGCTTGCTGATGTGAAGGCCGGGGCTGTAACCACAGCCCACCAGACAGGGCTGCCCTGTTCGCACTGCTCCCCCTGAGAAGGCAGCCAAGAAGCTCGAGATGCACTGAAGGGAAGGCAGTCACCAGTCTCAACTCAGCTCGCCAGGTGCCCGTATGTTTGTCAACTGGTCCTGGTCTCTCCCTGATGATTCCTGGAAGAACAGCTACCTGCCTATCTGTTGCCACCACAGTGCCCAGCACGGGGTCTTGCTCTGAGGAAATGCTGGGATAAGGTGGCAGGTAATGCTATCTTGACCTTTGGGCCACAGGATAGAAATATATTTGTTCTCAGCGCACATTGTCAATGGGACAATGGGATGGTCACTTTCTGAGTGGACTTTTTCTAAAGCTTCAACAGTTTGACACATTTTCACTAGAATTAATAATGACTGAAACCCTTCTCTCCTCCACATACTCGCCCTCTACCAAAAAACAGAAACACCCATCCTGGAGGCATATAGAATTGTAATAATGATGCAGTAGGAGAAAGGACTTGCGGCTCAGACAGTAGGGTCCCTTGTTAGTCTCTAACAAATCCATAAGTTTTTTCCTCTACTGTCAAACCCCAGACCAGAGCAGGCGAGGAAGCTCCAAGCAGGGTCATGGGGTTTTTGTCTTGGAGGTCCTGTCTTGGAGGTCCTGTCTTGTGAATATTAATGAGGCACTGTGAAAAGGTGAAGGGTAGAAGGATGAAAGAAATTCATCATATCTGGCTGCAGTGGGGGGCCAGAAAGAAAAAGCTATTCCTCACTGTCCCTAGAACCTTTTCTGGAGTTTCTCTGGAAATAAAACCAAGTCCCAAGGACTGAGGACATTAAAGAAACTTCTGGGGTGGACAATACACTTAAGATCTCTCCAGGGAAGGAACCCTCCCTGGTGGTGCAACGGGTTAAAGCTAGGCACTGTGAAAGGAGCAGCAATAGGTTCAGCAAATTTGATCCCTGGCCAAGGAGCTGAATCAGACAGGGCGGCAGATCTCTCCTGACCCGCCCGCTGCTCCCCTCAGCAGTGTGCTTCATCAATCTGCCTGTTCTGCTCCCCACTCTGTCTGTGATGACTCCTCTCACTGCCCCTGTACCTCTGCCCATATCTTAGTTCTGTATGCATAAATAAATAAATTAAAAAAAAAAATCTCTCCAGGGAAAGGTCTGGAGTGATGAAGTCCCTGAGGGATTCTATTAGCACATGGACCTTTTCACTCCACTCAGACCAAAGCTCACTATAGAAAAGAAAAAAAAAAATTGTATGTAACAAATAACTGCTCAGGGTTGGGGGGGGATTCTTCCAGGGGTACATGAAAACAGAATGACAGGGCTCATAATGCACAGACACTGATTGGCTTTCCTATAAAAAGACAAACTCATAGAAGTCACAGCTTATATGAAGCTTCTCTCTCCCAAGACAAACATTCGAATTATTTCCATGATAAAATACCTAACCGATGTGTAAGGAGAATTTTCTGCCAAGAGATGTTGGGATTACACAGATACAGGAAGAAAGCTGAACTGTCAAGGTAAAGTGAAAGGAAGCAGAGCACATTTTACCCCAGTCTATATTTATTATTATATCTACATAAGAATAAGTAGTTGTTATGATTTTTAAAATAGAAAAGAAAATGAATGCTATTTTCATCTTAAAACAAAATTTAAAAAAAGGTGAAAGCGAGCCCTCCCAAGTGGCGGAAGGGGTTAAAGCACAGCACTCTGAAGCTACCACTGCAGCAAGAGTTTGATCCCTGTCTAGTGAGGTGACCCACAGCAGACCTCTCCTGTCTTGCCAGCTGCTCCCCTCAGCAGCATATTTCAGTACATCTGCCTGTTTTTTCCCCACTGTCTCCGGTGAGTCCTCTCAATCCCTGCACCTCTGGTCTGTAACCCAGTTCTTGTATGTAAAGTAAAAAAATATTAAACAACAAAAAAGGGGAAAACAAAAGCAAAAGCAAGACCTTCATCCATTTCATGCTCAAACAACAGAATATTTTTCCGGCAGTGGTAATATTCTTTAACAAAAGCTAACAATTTCCTCTTGGAATCAAAGAAAAAAAAGCTTATTCTATTGAACAAAATTTTGATTGCTACTCAACCAATCCTGTTGAAGTAATATGAGCCATCATTACAAGGTTACAGTTTTTGTGTTTTCCTGACTTTGGTAATTAGGAAAAAAGTAGTCTTTTAAATTAAAACAAAACTAAAATTGTAGTGAACCCGTAGTTGTCTAAAAAGCACCCATGTAAACTGTTTAATGGGTGCAGGGTTTTATTTGGGGGAGGATACAACTGTTTCGGAGCTTAATATAGGTGGTGGCTCAAACACTATTATAAATGAACTAAGTGCAAAATGGAATGTTCATTTTAAAATGGTCAATTTTATGTTACGTGAATTTCACCTCAAAACCAAACCAAACCAAGATAAAGCACCCAGTTCCTCTATTTTTTTTTTTTTTTTAAATATAAGCACGTTACCTTCTCCGTGTAACAGTGATGGGTCTAGGAGCTCCATCATGTACTCAATTTCAGTGTCCAGTTCAAGCATGTCGCACTGAGCAATGACATAAGTCAGGACTGGCAAGAAATCATCAGCTCCATACATCCTTCCTGGGGGGAGGAAGAGAAGAGAGGATGGGAATAGCTTGACCAGCATTTCTGTCTTTTATTATCTCACTGATGTTTTTATGAGAGAGTGTGGAGTCACCCTAGGGAAATGTGCTATTCATAAACAGAGGTGGGTGTTTCTGGAATCCTCTGTAGCCTGTGACCTCCTACCACTCATGTCAGAGACCAGCTGGAACTGACAATTTCAGAATGAATGCCTATGAGTCACACATGAAAGATTTTCTCCTGGCTTTCACGATTTGCATCAGGTTATTCTATAGAAGCATACTTTCAGCGAGTGATAGTGTTTACAAAGTACTGAGTTTATTACTGTTCATCCTCTTGGTTTTGATTCCTATTTTTTTTTTTCTGTGCAAATTAATCATTGCTACAATGACAAGACCTAACTAAATCAGGAATAAATGTCTCTGGATTCTATCTAAGCACACAATTAGTATAAATGTGTTAATTATGTATAGGTTGAATATATACATATGACTAATAAATGTATTAATCATTAGTGGATAATGACACTGCCCCTCTTCCCCCCCAAAACATTTGGCATTGTCTAGAGACATTCCTCCTTGTCACAACTGTGGGGTGGAGGTGCAAATGGCATCCAGGATGTGGATAAACTTCCTACAGGAAGCCAGACAGCCCCCACAACAAAGCATTACCGGCTTAAATGCCATTCTTGTTGATAGTGAGAAACTGTGCTACAGCAGAACATAATCTTGGGCAGATATTATTTGAGGAACCTTAATAAGTGTTTTCACAAACTATAGCAAATGTTTCTTATTTTTAAAATATGCTTGCCAATTTCATAGGTGATGTTCACTTGCCATCATTACCAGCCCAGAAGCTCACATTTTAATGTCTTTGCTTGACAACTTGCAAAGTGCACACATTCCTATCAACTCAAGCAAAATAGAGTCTGTGTTTTCCTTCTGTTGCTTCTCCATGAAGCAATTTCACTTGGATGAAAAGTTGATCATTGTCCATGAATTATAACAGGCTCACTGATGACATGGGATTATGCAGGGCTCAATTACTAGCCATGAATCATAGTTAATCCTACATCTGCAGGAAGCAGCATAGGGAAAATCTGAGGGCTAATTTTCCAATTCTATAACTCTGATGAATTCCCAATTCACTATTTCAGTTTGTAGCTGGAGGTACAGCCAATGAAATAACTGTAATGGAATTGCACTACTATTGAATGATATGAGTTTCTGACACATGCTATATAAATCATTGGTATAAACCCTCACTGAGCAAAATATGGTAATGATAATTTCCATTATTTCCATAATGATTGGGGCTGTACATGCAGTGTCTCCTTTAATCCCTACTGTATGAATGATAGATAGGGTCATATCCAATGACAGGTACCAAATATGCAAACTATAAGGTTGGTCAAGGTGGCCAAAGGCCTAGTTAGTAATAGTTAAAATTAACTCTGATTTACAGAGTTAGGATTTGATTTGAATCCAGACTCCAGAGATAGAATCTGTATCTACTACTCTGAGCTAAATCTTTAACAAATTGGTATTCTACAAAAATTTGGTTGCCCTGTTAGTTTACTTCTTTTGGTGCTATCAACCTATTGCGTGCAAATAACTTGACACACATCAGGGTAACACTTGTATTTTTGTGACCTGCTGGGTGAAATTAAGAGCTTGAAATGGAAGAGAAACTGGGAATCAGAATGCCCAATATGTCACTAGCTAGGTTACCGGACACTTCACCGGACCTGGAAGGGAGGAGGGAAGAGCGGATATTTCAGACAGCCCACCTGAGTTGTTCTCCATGACAGTGTAAATAAGCTTGCAGACCCTCAACAGCAGCATGACTTTCTTTTCAGGAGAATACATCTTCTGCATGGTCATGAACTTGACTTTGATTTTCTCCACATCCACAAAATCAGGGGTTGGGGCAAAAACCCCCAGCTCTTGTGGGTTTCTCTGCCGCACAAGTTGCAGGTTCTCCTTGAGTTGTTTCCAGGAGCCATCAGCCATGTGGAAATCCTTCAGCATGGCTTCCACATGCCCCTTCAGGGGCTTCAAGATGCATTTGTGCATGGCTTTCTCCAACACCACATCTGTCAAAGAAAGAGCAGCTACGTGAACAGCCTGGTGAATGAAGAAACACTTTCCCACGATGGATCTGCAACTCTTCGCCTTGGTCATAAGGCAGATGAGTTATAACCTCGTACTCAATCCACCATCATCAAAACTTAGCAGCAATTGCTTCATTTACAATTGGAAAGACATGGAAACAACCCAAATGCCCAAAGATAGATGACTGGATTTAAAAAATGTAGTACAGGCCCTCCCTGATGGCACAGCGGGTTAAAGCACAGCACTAAGAAGCTAAAGCCACTTCAGCATGAGTTTGATCCCAGCCTACCCCAGAGGCAATTCACATGGTGTGGCAGACCTCTCCTGACCCGCCTGGGGCTCCCCTCAGCAGTGTACTTCGTCAATCTGCATGTTCAGCACTCCACTCTGTCTCTGGTGAATCCTTTCACTGCCCCTGCACCTCTGGCCTGTACCCCAGTTACAAATAAATAAAATCTTAAAAAAAAAAAAATGTGGTACATATATGCAATGGAATATTACTCAGCAACAACAAAAAAAATAAGCACATGCTTTTTGCAGCAACACAGACGTAGCTGGAAAAGATCGTGCTTAGTGAAATAAGCCAGAATGCAAAGAATACTGGATGGTTTCACTCATAGCAGGAGTATAAAGGACCAGACGAGAAAATATAATAATGATGAACAACTATATATCAGAGACATTTTACCAGGTGGAATTGGGAATGGGCTCAAAAACGGTGGGGGAAGGGAAGTGCACTGGACTATGATGATGGCACATGGGTGATTTGGTGATGGGAAACCCAAGGGGATTACAACTGAGATGGAAAAATGCACAAAATAATGTAAAAATAAACTTTTTTTTTTTTAAAGAACTTAGCAGCATTGTTGCTTACATGCCAACATTTTTTTGGGGGGGGGGTTTAAGGGGTAACGTCCAGTAGAGTGAATCTTCCCTAATACAAATCTTACAGTTTTTCTTGCATACTATCAAAAGAATTGAGTATGCTTATTTTAAATATGATTATACCTACTCTGCTTAAAGCATAGGCAAATATTCAAGAAGACATTCTTCTTGATCCTTCAACTGCCCACCCACTTGACAGCTAAGCAAGTCCTTTTTTTTAAAGATTTATTTATTTGTACATACAGAACTGGGGTACAGGCCAGAGGCTCAGGGACGGTGAGAGGCTTCACCAGAGATAGAATGGGGAGCAGAACAGGCAGATCGATGAAGTACACTGCTGAGGGAAGCAGCGGGCGGGCCAGGAGAGGTCTGCCACGCCATGTGGTCACCTCCGGGGCAGGTGGGAACCGAACTCATGCAGAAGTGGCTTTCGCTTCTTAATGCTGTGCTTTAACCCGCTGCGCCACCAGGGAGGGCCAGCAAGTCCTTTTTTAAAGGAAGAATTTTTCATATAATGCAGATACAATCCCTTCATATATTTTCTAAGGAAATAATTTAAATTAAATACACACATTCTCTTGGATTAGATTCTGTACCTGAAGTATTTTCATACCTCTTGCTATAAAACACATTCACATGGACTTAGATCAGACCTAAATAAAGTATACAAATTAGATAGTCATGGTAACATTGAATCAGTCTTAATTTTACTATAGTTTCCTAATAGAAATCCTGCTTTTAGGAAATATACACTAAGCAGTAAGTGACAGGACACACAGAGTGTGCAAGTAATTCATTAGGCTCAGAAAAGAGTATGTGTGTGTAAACAAAAAAGAAGACAATGAAACAGTCATGGTAAAGTTCTAGGATTCAAATAATCTGGGTGAAGGGTAGCCAAGATTTCTTTGTACTATTTCTTCAACTTTTCTGCACGTCTGAAAAGATTTCAAAACAAATTATTAAATTTTTTTCAAATGTGTTTCTGTCCAGAGTTAGGAAACACCTTTAGATAGGGATTACTTTTGTTTCCTCCTTCTTGGAATGGTTACACAATCATTTTAAGTAAATATCCATACTGCTTGTCAAAGTAAATAATCTCTTTATTCTAAAGCACTTATTCTTCTTTACAAAGATTTTGAAAGTTACATTCATGGTTATAAGTGATAACTTCTCTTATAGTGAGCTTACACTTACCACAAGGGAATAAAAGTCATGATAATGATTAATTAGAAATGTACATGAGTATTTATAGCACCATTCTTCACAATACCTCCCAAAGTGGAAACAATCCAAAGACAAGCCCCAGTGGAATGGGTAGAATGGATTGTACATTTGTACAAAGGAACACTATAATGAAATTCAGACAGTAAAAGATTCAGTCAATGAAAAAGCACATTCTGTTGCTCTAACAGCAAGGGGGATGAATCTCATGCTGTGTGAAAAAAAGACAAGTATCTCCTTTAACATCTCATTATACAAAATTCAAAGGCAGGCAAAATGAATCTATGACAGAACTAGGATAGATGATAATGGATGGGCCACTTCTTGGGGAGAGGAAGTGGTGGAACATGTTCTCTCTATAGGTGGGGGATACGTGCACATCTGTGGAAATGCTCATCTATCCAGCTGAGCGCTGAAGACTTCTGCACCTCATGCATTTAAGTTAAACCTCAAAAGATACATATAAATCAAACAAACAGAGAACAACAAAGACCAGCCTGGGATTTTCACATGGAACCCCAAGACAACTTCTAACTTCAGAATCCATCAGGTTACCAGTGGGTTCTGTGCTCCTCCTGGGGACCAAGCAGAAAGCTCATGACCTGCAAGCTGACTAGATCCTTCATGCCACTCATCCTTGCCTCCTGAGCACGGGTGCCCTTTGCAACAAACGGGGCTGTGAAATTTGTTAGGTGGGTTGAAATCCAGGACCAGGACCCAGGTGCCCATTCTCTTCAAACCACAAATGAAAAAAATTAATACCGTTAAAATTTTTAGTACATACTTTGAAGGCCATAAACACTGGTTTGCTTTGATTGGCTTTACTCTTAATAAATATTTAATAAACATAAGAAACAGGAAATAAGTCCAAATGACAGGAAGTACCTTGTACCGGCACAGTTCTCTCCAATAAGAAAAAACAGGTTCTACTCATGAAGCAAGAAGGAACCAAGATTTGAAGAAGTAGAAAGATGAGAAAATCTTTCAGAATGTGAATTAACAAGAAAAAAGAAAGAACACCCGTTTCTTATTTACTATCAGCGATTATTTTATCATCTCCAGTTGCTTTAAATTCAAGAAAATAAAATCTTTAAGTTGTTAAGACAGAGATATACATGTAGATGCTTTATACGTACTGACTGTTCAAATGCTCAAACAAACCTCATTGTAAGAGCACTTCTTAGTTCTTCATTTTCAAATGAGAAAACCAAAACCCACCGAGAAGTCACACAGCTAGCAAGTGAGGGGGATGGAATCTGAGTCCAAGCAACCCGGTCCCTGAATTCTTGGGTTAAGTCTTTTGCAGATACCCACAAAAAAATTAAACAAACCAACTGGACACCTAGAAATAACAGCAATATCATATACTAGAAAAGAGTTAAAAGGAAACCGAGTAAGGTGGTGATTCTGTTTTTCTTAAAATTCATTAATGTCTTTTCTATTAATCTATTAATGTCTTTTTCCTAATGACAAGATAATATTAGATAGTTATTTAAGCTACACATTTTGATTTCAGAAACCATAAACTGGCTCTCCTAGCTGAATAACTGAAATTGGAAACACATTTTTTAGAAATACTTATATAGTTCCTATCTATTTGCCTCAAATCCATAGGGAACTAGTAAAAAGCATGACATCGCTTTGATTCTCTTTGACCTAATGAGACATAATTAGTCATTTATAAGAAGTGTGAAATGGTTGGCCGAGAGTACTGTGAAGTGACTGAATGATGACAGAAGCTTCCCTGTTGCTGCACTCTGACCTAGAGCCCTAGATTCCAGGGAAGGTCAGAGACAAGAGAGGGGACCATCACAAGCCTGGATCAGGTAAGGGCTTTGTCTGAGCTCCTTCCACTTACCCACTGGCTGCCTAGGGGAAGCGAGAACACAAGACTCAGGTGATGTCTTTGAAAGAACAGGAGGACCTGGCAGCCAGCCATGTTCTATCTTGCTAAGTCACTCTGGCCAAGTTATGTCATTTCTCTCATTGACACTGCCTTGAATTTTTTAACTGCCATTGGAAGGATTAGCCATGTAAGGTAAAACCATAACTAGAAATCTGGACCTAATGGATTGAATGCTAAAATAAGCTAACAAAATAATGATCAATATTCTCTAAGGGATTCTAGTAGTCCCCAGAGTCTAAATAACATGAGTCCCCAGAGTCAAAATGTCCACGTTGCAATTTAAAGTTACTTGACAAAGAAAAAAGATAAGGTTAGTTCATAAGTTCTTTTTTTTAGCATTCTGGTGATAAAAAAGAATATAGTAGTAGAAATATAAACTAGTATTTGATGACAAGAGGTGGGCTTTTTTTCTTTTTTATAGCAAAACCAGCTGTGAAAGTTAGATTTAATTTAGATGTTTAAAATAGCTAGTATTTATTGAATATCAATCTGTGCTCCCATAAAAAGAGGACAAATTTATTGTCTCATCTATATTAACCTTCCTTCAGGCGTGTAAAGTAGGAACTAGTTTCGTCTGCATTGAACACATGGACATGGAGCTTTGAGGTCAAATGACTTTCCAAGGCTGGTGGAAATGTGAACGTGGTGTCACTGTTCCTACACCAGACAAGGCATGATGGGTCTCCCTTATGTACAAGAAGAGCAAAGGGAGCTGATATTTTCTTTCTGCAAGAATTTTCCTTTCGCTGTATAATTGGGTTAAGGTTTAGAACAAATATTGAGTGGCTGCTCTGTATTTCAAGCACTATTGTGTACTATACATGTATTTAAACAACCTTTGACTGAGATGGCTACATAATCCTTATTTGTCTTAGTCTGGGTTTTCCCACAGGCCAACCCTGAGACAAGGACTTGAGCGTGTGTGCTGTATTTGGGAGGTGAGCCCAGGAAGCACTGGTAGCAGATGGG